GTGGGGGGGGGGGGGGGGGTTGGGGGGGGGGGGGGGGGGGGGGAGGGTCTGGCCCTTTTGCCAGTGAGATTCTTGCCTCGAGTCTTCCACACATAACTCCGTCTGGCTCTGAGGATAGTCTGCGCGGTGCCCGGATTTGGGCTGGCAGTGGGCTGTCTGCCACTGCGGGTGCTGGAGCCGGGGGGGGGGGAGTGACGGGGGTCTAGAATTTATGATAATGTCATCTCTGAGCTTCATGACTTTTACCGCGAAGCTGGCGAAGTGCGGAAAGTTTTCTTTACTGACTAGCTCGTAGAGATGACATGGCCAAGTGGTCTTATTTGCTCGCAGTTTTGATGCGAGCTCTGATCTATGAGACATTCGAAAATGATGTGTCTGACTGTGTCTGTGGATCCACAGGTACACACATTGTCGGATGCGATTCGGAGGGTGTGTAATTTTAGCATAAATTATACTGTATATATACTTAAGTATATAATATACATATATTATATATTTGTATATATACTTAAGCATTGTGCCTTCTTCTTCTTATGTATTTCGTTGAGGACTGTCTCCCTCCTTTTGAGGCACTCCTTGACGTACCCTTTGAAGAGGGTCCTCTTCCTGTGTCCTTGAGTATGGGTAGAATCTGGTCTATTGTCAATGCTCCGATCTCGCCGACTAAGTTGGAGCGTTCACCATTAAGGGCCGGGCATGCGATTATCGCATGTTCGACCGTGTCCTCGCCCCCCCGACACAGCAAGCATGTCGGGTCGTCATGCTTGCCAATTCGTGTGAGGAAACCCGCAAAGCACCCGTGTCCCGTCAGTACCTGCGTCAGATAGTAATCAAGTATCGGTGGCCCCCAGTCGGCCCACTCTGTAATCCTCGGTATAATCCTGTAAGTCCAGCGGCCGCTGGTGGCGGTGTCCCACCTCTTCTGCCACTCAGCCCGCGTTCTCTCTCGTTCCTCCCGTTTGGCCAGCAGTGTTTGGCGCCTAAAATCGGGCGCGTTCCTCTCCAGTTCCGCCACTCGGAGGTACGTACGCCTCCTCTCGGCCGCCACCAGTTCGAATGGCGGAAAACCCGCCAGGACGCACAGCACATCCAGCGCGGTGGTGCGGTACGCCCTGGCCACCCGGGTCAGGATCGCTCTTTGTGCCGCATTGAGCGGCTTCCTGTTACTTCCCATCTTCACCGCCGGAGCCCAAATCGGTGCCGCATACATAATTACCGACTCCACCACTCGGTAGTACAGGGATCGGGCCCAGTAGCCGCCGCCACCCAGGTTAGGGAGTATCCTGCTCAGCATGCCTGCGTATCTCATGGCCTTCTCGCTGGCGCCGCGGATGTAAGCCCTGTAGCACTGGTTGCCCTCTAACGCAACCCCCAGGTAGCGTGTTGTCCCGCACGCCCTGAGGGGGCCGCCGCAGATCCGAACGTCGATGTCTTCCTTCGCCTTCCTGCTCGTGAGGTGGAGGATCTCACATTTGTCCTCAGCGAGCTCCAGATGATTCCGGTCGAACCACCCCTTTATACTCTCGAGCGCGGTGTCGGCCTTGTTTTTGGCCGCTCGCATGTCGCAAGCGGTCACGACCAATGCAGCGTCGTCTGCATAGCCCAGGAGGGTGCAGTCCCGCGGCAATTCCGTTTCCAGGAGCTCGTCGTACTGGACGTTCCAGAGCAGCGGTCCCAGTACCGATCCCTGGGGCAACCCCGCATATACGGGTGTCCGCTCCGCGCAGCCGTCCCTCAGCGTCACGATGCAGCGCCTGTGCAGGTAGCTGTGGAGTATGTTCGTCAGGTGGGGAGGGATGTTCCTCTGTTGGAGGGCCCTCAGGATGTTTTGCCACTTGACCGCGTTAAATGCGTTCCTGACGTCCAGCGTTATGAGGAAGCAGTGTTTCTTCCTCCTTTTGGCCGAGTCCCACATCTCCACCACACGGCTGACCGCATTCACCGTGCTTCTTCCCTTTGTAAAGCCGTACTGTTTGTGCGAGAACGAGATCACGGGTGCAATCCTCCCCTTAATGCAGTGCTCAAACGCCTTCGCAAGATTGGACAGGATGCACAGCGGGCGCCATGCAGGCCGGTTGTCCGGGCCAGCTTTTTTGAGGATTAATACCAACCTCCCCACCTTCCACTCGCGAGGGAAATACCCCACGACCAGGCATCTGGTGAACAGGTGCGCAATGTGGCCCACCGCGCACCCCGCTAGCGCACGTATGACCGTCAGAGGCATGCTGTCCGGTCCCACTGCTCGTTTCCTGAGTTTCCCCAGCGCCGCCCGCACCTCGTCCTCCGTGAACGGGGGGCACGGGTCGTTATCCGAGGCTCTGTATGGGGTAGGTCGTCGATGTGTGGCCTCGACGTCCCCCTGGTCGAGCGTCGGAGGAGTGACGGTGAACAGCCCTCCCACCACCGCTTGTTGTTCTTCGCGGCTCAAGGCGTATGGGGGGGGGGGTCGGCCCTTAATGTTTCTCACAACTCATGTGTACGGCTTTCCCCAGGTGTCGTAGTCGATATCCTTGATGAACCTCTTCCAGGCTGCGTTCTTTGAGTCCTGGATGGTCCATTTCAGGTCTTTTTTGAGGGTCTGGTAAATGGCTCCTGAGAGCTCGATCTCGGGAGCAAAACCCCTTTTCCTGGCCCTCTGGTGTCTTCTTCTGCTCTTTATTACGGCTCGTCTTGCTGCCTCTACCTCGGGCGTCCACCACCACTTAGGGCGTCCGCGTGTCGCCCGATACTGGGGCCGAGTAGACTTCTCGACGAGCTCGCTTAGTAGCTTAATGTAGGCGTCGATGTCCGTCGCTGTTTCTATGCGAAAAGGGGAGGCCAGCGTCGCAGTCGTGTTGTAGAGCGTGAGAAAACGGTCCACGTCGACCACTCCCGACCGAGGCCCCTCCTCGCAGCCTGTGATGTTACCGGTGAATATATGTTTTATGTATCGGTGGTCTGAGGCGGTTTCCGTGTCCAGGATGGTACTTGAGGTAAGTCTCCGGAGCACGGACCCGCCACAGAACATGATGTCAATCAATGAGTGTCATCCGTTTCTATCGTAGGTGTATCTTCCCTTGCTGACAACCGGGCAGATCCGGATGCGATTGGCCATTTCGAGGGTAGCTGTGCCCCGTGGGTTCGTTTCAGCGGAGCCCCATGCTGGTGATTTCGCGTTGAAGTCCCCGGCCACGATCGTGTGGTCGAGGTCTAGTATGGCCATCAGGTCCTCCAGGTGCTGTAGGTGGGTTTCGAAAGCGTCCAGGCGTATGTTCGGCNTCTGGTGATTTCGCGTTGAAGTCCCCGGCCATCAGGTCTTCCAGGTGCTGTAGGTGGGTTTCGAAAGCGTCCAGGCGTATGTTCGGCGAATAGTAACAGCTCACTACAGTGATATCACTGATCCGAATTGCCACGTATCCATCCGCGCTGGCCAGGAGTTGTACGGGGGTCAACCTCCTGGCGGCCCTTTCGGTTATCCAGATAGCCGCCCTACCATCGCCGGTCCCGAACCAGTCACTCAGGATCCTCCATGGTTCTGAAATTATTACTACGTCAATTTCCCAGTCGACCGCGTTCTGCTGTAGTAGGTCGTGGGCAAGTCTGCAGTGGTTTAGATTAATCTGGAGCACGTTTAACTGTGTGTCCTCTTTTCTCTTTCTGTCCTTTTGGTTTGTGCAGTTGTGGGTGTTTGTCATAGCTGCGGGTATTATCAGTTGAGAGCGTGTTGTGTTAGTTGTTGTTGTTGGCGCGTTCGTTCGTCAGTGATGTCCGGTTTGTTCTTTGTTACAGTTGCTGTTACTCTCGCAATTTTTGTGTCGAGCTCCCGAACCAGGGGTTGGGAGCTTCTCGGGGAGTCTTCTCTGTAGATTTCCGCGGCACTTCTGTCGACCAGCGTCACCCTTGTCTCGGGCGTTTTCACCCTTGTCTCAGGCGATTTCCCTGTCCCCTGCGTCGGATCGGTCGGAGTTGGCGCCCGGTCCTGCTCAATTTCCCATGGGTCCCATGGGGGACGGGAGTGGGTTGCCGGCGTCGGTCTTCGCTGTCTTCGCTCGGGTGGTGTTTATGTTCCTCGTGTCTTCTGGGTTCAGAGCTTTGTCCCGGCTGCTTGTCCTTGAAGGCTTTTGCAACCTGGTGGATCTCCTGATGCCCTCGGTGAGCTGTTTCTCCTTGGGTCCCCTCTCCCTCTTGCTTTGATTTCCACCTTTCTCCCGCGCCTCCGCGAGTGCCTTGCTGAATGCCGGGCAGTTGCGGCCCCCCGCTCTGAGGCCCTGGGTGTTGCAGATTAGGCACTTTTCTTCCTTCGTGCAGGTCTTTTCCACGTGGTCGGGTTCCCCGCACTTATGGCAGCATTTTGACCGGTCCGCGTTTCTGCACGTAGTGCTGCGGTGGCCGAATTCCCGGCATCTGAAGCACTGGACGACCTCAGTGCGTTCCACCACCCGGCAGAAGCCTCACCCCACTCTAAAGCGTTTTGCTTTCAGTAGTTTGGCGGCGCTCTCCGCCGTGGCGATAACGGTGGCGTTCTGGCTGCCCGCATAACCCGGTCGCAGGGCTTTAACCTGAAGCTCCTGCGTATCCACGATGGGGCCGAGAATTCCACAGAGGGCCTCTCGGATGTCATCGCAGGTGGCGTCTCCGTCCAGTCCTTTTAGGTGGAGGGTTTTGGAGTTCCGGGTTGACACCTTCGCCCTGACACCTGCGATCTTTTGGTTTATTATAGAGGAGAACCCGGCTGCCTTACCTCTATTGCCCTTGACTGAGATTATCAGATCTCCTCTCTGATTGGACTTGACGGCGGCGATGTTTACCTCCTCTCTGCTTGATTCCGCGTACAGATGAATTTCTCAATGTGACGCGGTTCCCTATTACCCTTTACGGTGATAAGGATGATATAATGAATTGTCTTGTATGGTAATCACTATAAAATCTTTATTTCTAACACTTAATACTAAGCGGTACTGATTGCTAGATAATCGTAGAGTGTGTTTGGTTTGAAAGTGGTTGAAAGACTGCCTGGGCTCGGGATCCTTTTCCCGAAGTCAACTCGGTGTCCCCGTCCACCCTTCGTGCTTCCTTCTTTTTGAGTCGAGAGTGGGAACGGTTGTCCTGTCTGATTGGTTTAAAAAATAATGGACAAGATCGAGAGTTAGAAGGAGGAGGACGGCAGGGAAAGTGACCGCTCCGAATAATGGCCACATGCAGGCACGGACCGTACCTAGGAGCGGCGCACATGGGGGTTTCGCGCATTTTAGACGTTGACCGTAGCAGGCAATAAACCCCGGAAGTGCTTCGACTTGAATGGTGTATGCAGAGGAACAATCTGAGGATGCGGTGATTGTCTAACATCTGGTGCGCAACTGTTGGATATAACGAAACAAGGGATGAAATTTGAGTAAGGAACGGCTTTTCGGGAAACTGCCTGCTACGGGTGGTTTTTCGCCTGGGCCCAAGGACAGATAGGACCGATTGCCTGATTTATGTGTTTCTGCGCGGAACATCCTCCCCCCCTTGAGAGGGAACCGATCGAAGAGGAATGAGTGTTTCTTATGTATAGTGACTAATACTGATGGTAAATATATAATGTGTATGGTGTGTGCAGGTGATGTGTGGTGTCAAGGTGCGTGTTCATGTGATTCTTATGTCTATGAATTGTTAGAGGTAGAATTCTCGGGCTGGCCATCTTCTGTCATAGGTTCGCTGCGTCCTTGGTTTTCGTCACCCGACTCGATTGGTAATGGGACGAGTTTTTTGACGTTCCGGTCGAACACGCTCGTAGCAGTCTTCACTGTGACTGTGCGAACTATGCCGTCGGAGCCTGGATAGGTTTTGATTACGCGTCCGAGAGGCCACTGCATGGAAGGCACGTTATCTTCCCTGAGAAGAACGATGGTGCCCTCGGTGATCGGATGATGTCCTCTGGTCCATTTATTGCGGGTAGTCAGTTCATTTAGATATTCTCGATGCCAACGTTTCCAAAAATGCTGCCTTAATTGTTGGATACGTTGCCATTGGGACAATCGATTCGACGGAGTGTCTTTCAAGTCGCGCTCGCGTAGACTCGTGATAGCCTCACCAATGAGGAAATGACCCGGAGTTAATGCAAGGAGATCTGTTGGATCGGATGAAATTGGAGTGAGGGGTCGGGAGTTGAGGATGGCTTCGATGTCAATAATTAATGTGTTTAGATTTTCAAATGTCAATAATTCAACACCTACGACGCGTTTAAAATGATGTTTGAAGGATTTCACTGCCGCTTCCCAGAGACCTCCAAAATGGGGAGTTTGTGGTGGGATAAAATGCCAATTGATGGCGCGTTCGGCGAGGAATGTGGTCACCTTTTCGCGATGATCATCCGCACGTAACAGTTCTCGCAGCTCCCGAAATTCACCTTCTGCTCCCTTGAAATTGGTGCCGTTATCGGAGTATAGATTTGTACAAAAACCTCTTCTCGCGATGAAGCGTCGTAGTGCTGCGATGAAGGCTTCGCTGGTTAGATCGCTAACGAGCTCGAGATGTACGGCCTTTACAGCTAAACATACGAAGACCGCAACATAGACCTTGACGCGACCGCGGTTTCTATGTTTTCGCTCTTTTATAAAGAATGGTCCACAGTAATCGACTCCCACGTTGGCAAATGGACGCGATTCTGTTACCCTTGCTCGGGGTAGATTGCCCATAATATAATTGACGGGTGGTGGGTTGGCTCGACGACAACGGACACATTTCGAAATGGTCTGCCATACTTGACTTCGACCATCGATTGGCCAATATGTTTTCCTTAGTGAGTACAATGTGTGTTGAGTCCCCGCATGTAGTAGGTCCGTGTGTTCCTTTAAAATAATGCAGGACGTGACGTGTGATTTTGGTAGTATTATGGGATGCGTTTGTGAAAACGTCAAGGCTGAATTGTGTAATCGACCTCCTACTCTGAGAATACCGTCTTGATCGATAAATGGACTTAGTTTTGCTAGCTTGTGTGGAATTTCCTGATCAGCTCGCCGGTTAAGGGTGCGTAGTTCCCTTTCGAAATGTTTGGCTTGGACCAATTTGATTATGGTGATTTTTGTTTGTGCCAGTTCGGTCGCGGTGACACTCCCCTTTATAATCCTACCCGGTTTCCATCGTCGGCATAGTGCAATAATCCGCAGCAATTTTCCCCATGATGAGTACCGTTCAAGGATACTCGTGTCCACTGGCGTGGTAGTTGTGGCCACACAGGTGACCTTTCTTTGCTCCGGATCTTCGATACATGGTATCAATTCCCGAATAGGCCAGAGCGCCCGTTCCTGTCGGAGCCAGTGTGGTCCGTGTTGCCATATGGATGCTCTCAAGAAGTCTTGAACAGTTTGACCTCGAGAGAGTAAATCTGCTGGATTATCTGAGGAGCTGACGTGGAGCCAATCGGAGATTGTGGTTTTTGATTGTATTTCTGCTACTCGGTTGGCGACGAAGGTTTTCAGGGTATGTGGAGACGCATTTAGCCAATGTAAGACTATTGTTGAGTCTGTCCACAGGATTGTACGGTCGATCTGGATGTGTAATGCCCTTAGGATCGTATTTAGTAGAGCGGTAAGTAGCAGTGCTCCGCATAACTCGAGTCGCGGGATGGACTGACTCTTCAATGGTGCAACCTTTGATTTGGCTGCGAGGAGTTCTACCTGCGTTTCGCCTTGTGCATTGGTCGAACGCAGATATATGCAAGCTCCGTAGGCCTTCTCGCTGGCGTCACAGAACCCATGAAGCTCTATGTCTGAAGCGGCAGTAATTATGGTTTTACGATGGAATTTCACATTATTGAGTAATGGCAGTTGTGTATAATATCGTGTCCATTGGGTGTGTAAACTCATGGGAAGTGTTTCATCCCAATCCACCTTCAGAGTCCACAGTTTCTGGAGGAGGAGTTTTGCGACAATGATGATAGGACCTAAAAGACCCAATGGGTCATAGATTTTCGCGATTTCTGAACTGATTGACCGTTTAGTGACTCGAGATGCATGCGTAAGAGGCTTGACGGTGTAAGTGATGGAGTCCTCCGCTGAATCCCAAACGATCCCGAGTGTTTTGATTGTGGATGATTCGCCGAGGTGGAGTTTTTGATTGATGTTTTGATCCGGTAACCCGCTTAGCAGTTCTTGATCATTGGATGCCCACTGTCTAATATTCAATCCAGCTGAATGAAGAAGTTGCGTCAATTCGTTTCGTAGTGTGAGGGCTTCTTGTATAGTGGATGCGCCGGTGAGTGCATCGTCCACGTAAAAATCCCGCTGTAAAATCTTCGCAGCGAAAGGAAATTGATGACCCTCGTCTTGCGCTAATTGTTTAAGGCATCTGATAGCTAGATATGGGGCGGCTGATAAACCGAATGTTACCGTATTTAATTCATATGTTTTGACACAATTCTTGTTGTCACGCCAGAGAATTCTTTGGTATTGTCTGTCCTCTGGGCGCACGAGAAATTGTCTATACATTTTCTCGATGTCGCCGGTAATGACATATTGGTGGATGCGGAATCGGAGCAAAATGCATAATAAATCATCTTGTATCTTGGGTCCAGTGTGTAGTGTGTCATTGAGCGAGATTCCGGTACTTGTGACTGCCGACCCGTCGAAGACTACGCGCAGTTTCGTCGTGTTGCTCGACATCTTAATGACCCCATGATGTGGAAGATAATATCCTGGACGTGATGCATGCACCTCGGACATGTGTCCAAGATCGAGGTATTCCTGGATGACTGCTCGGTATTGATGTTCCAATTCTGAATCGCGTTTGAATTTTTGCTCTAAAGATATGAGCCGTTTCAGCGCTTGCGTGTCGGATTCTCCCAGCTTAGGCTTGTTTTTGTTGAATGGAAGTGCGACAACATATCTACCTTCTGTATTTCGTGTGGTGGTATTTTGAAAATGTTGTTCGCATGTCGCTTCTGATTCTGACAAATGCTGCGATTGTGGACCTTCTTCCATTTCCCAAAAACGTGCCAAATCGAGTTTCAGTGTTGTTGTGGTGTGGCACGTTGCCTGCCGATTTGGTTGTGCTGTTGGTACACTGCCTCCGATGACCCATCCAAGCATTGTCTTTTGGAGAATAAGGTCTGGGCCGTCTGGTTGTGAGAGGTTAATTTGTCCTACACATAATATAGATAGCGCGGTTCCAGCTCCCAGTAAAATGTCAACTGGTGCTGGTCGATGGAACCTTGAGTCTGCGAGTTCGGTACTGCGAGGGATCTTGAGCATGGTACGATCGACTGTTTGATCTGGTACCACTGAAGCGATGTTTGGCACGATCAAAAATGTGAGGGTTCGCTGGAAGTTGCTGACTCTAGATTGTATGGTCGCGCGAATGGTATGGTTGGCGATGGTCGAAAGAGAATTGAGAGCGCCTACAGAGACGTTGCATCGTTCTTGTGACAAACGGAGTTTCTTGGCCAGATCGTTCGTCATGAAATTGGTGGTGGAGCACGTGTCAATTAGGGCACGGCATGATATTTTTTGATGATTGACATCGAAGATATTGATTTGTGCCGTAACTAATAATTCGTTGGTATCGGTATTGACTATGTATGTGCGTGCTTGGATGGGTCTGGGAGTTTTCTTCGATAGTGGTCATATTGACCTTGTTTTCCCGTTGGTTGATGTCGTGTCTTCCGGAAGTAATGTGGGAATCGGCGTTTCGTGTGTCGAGGATGGCGAGATACCGATTCGTTCCTGTGCTACTTGTTCTTGTCGATGTAAGAGCGTGTGGTGTCGTTGATTGCATATTCTGCATGTAAACAACGAACGGCAGACGTTCGTGGAATGGCCGGGTCGCAAACAGTTCTGGCACAAAGCTGTCTTGACGACCGTTTCGAACCGAGCGGTGGGAGAAGCGAGATTAAAGGTTTCGCAATCCCGAGTTAGATGCGATCCATTGCAAATCGGACACTGTGGAGTTTTCGTGGCAAGATATGTCTGCGTGCGCGAGATTCCTCTGGTACTTGAGTAGGAATGATTAGTTGAAGGGGTGGTGCGACTTCCGTAGGTCGCGTTGGTTTTTATGATCGCTGCTGGTGAACAGTTTGCTCGTTTCTCCAGAAATTCCAATAAATGGGTATACGGAGGCATGTTTTTGTCCGATAAAGTAAGTTCCCATTGCCAAACGGTGTCGGGATTAAGTTTTGATAAAATCGTAGATATTAAAAAGGAGTTCCACGTTGCAATTGGTTCGCCTAAATTCCGAAGTGCCCGCAAGTGTTGGTTTAACGCGTCTAATAAATCGCTCAAGCCTTCTGGAGTATCCTTCGTCAATTTGGGAATATCGCGAATAGCATCGCAATGTCGTAGGAGGGTCCGTCGGGGACAATGAAATTTATCCTTTAATATTTCTATCGCGTCGAGATAGTTTGCGTCGGTGGTATTCAATGATCTAATACATGCCGCGGCCTTTCCGGTAAGTGTTGATCGCAGATATTGTAACTTTTGGACTGGCGTTAGGTTTTCATTGCGATCGATCGTAGAGGAGAATACATCGTAGAATGATGCCCAATTTTCCAACGTGCCGTCAAATGTTGGTAATCGCATCTCTGGTAGTTTAATTGCCATCCGGGCTGATGCGGTCGATACTGGTGATACAGGACTAACACCGCGAGGATCGTTCGGCAATTCATGTCTTTGCATCATTGCCTTTGCCCGAGCTACTATTGAGTAATACTGGCTTTGAATCTCGAATCGGCGCGTTTCTTCAGATGAATCGAGAGTTTCTAACCCGAATTGGATATCGTCGAAGCGGCTCCACGCTTTGTTGAGTCCGTCGATGTGTTCCGAAATAAGGAGAGTATCGCAGTGATCAGCATTTTGCTGTTGATCTAGTAGATTGGTTAGCCACGTGATCTGTCCGATAATGTTACCACGTTTTCGTCGCAGAGTGCTGATTTGAGTATTTTCAGAAGCCATGGTTGGAAAATGAGGAAACGATAAGGGATTTGGTGATGAAATAAACGAGCCTACCTTTGCGGTGTGACGACCTTGAACCTACAGCTCCTTGTGGTCTGAGGTTGTACGTTGGAATAACTGTTGTAGACGTGCCTCAGAAGAAGATTGCTGATGTCATTCTGAGGGTGGCTGTTGAGTTTTCACCTATTCACTGATATTAAATCCGGCTCGAAGGACCAATGTTTCCGCGTACAGATGAATTTCTCAATGTGACGCGGTTCCCTATTACCCTTTACGGTGATAAGGATGATATAATGAATTGTCTTGTATGGTAATCACTATAAAATCTTTATTTCTAACACTTAATACTAAGCGGTACTGATTGCTAGATAATCGTAGAGTGTGTTTGGTTTGAAAGTGGTTGAAAGACTGCCTGGGCTCGGGATCCTTTTCCCGAAGTCAACTCGGTGTCCCCGTCCACCCTTCGTGCTTCCTTCTTTTTGAGTCGAGAGTGGGAACGGTTGTCCTGTCTGATTGGTTTAAAAAATAATGGACAAGATCGAGAGTTAGAAGGAGGAGGACGGCAGGGAAAGTGACCGCTCCGAATAATGGCCACATGCAGGCACGGACCGTACCTAGGAGCGGCGCACATGGGGGTTTCGCGCATTTTAGACGTTGACCGTAGCAGGCAATAAACCCCGGAAGTGCTTCGACTTGAATGGTGTATGCAGAGGAACAATCTGAGGATGCGGTGATTGTCTAACATCTGGTGCGCAACTGTTGGACATAACGAAACAAGGGATGAAATTTGAGTAAGGAACGGCTTTTCGGGAAACTGCCTGCTACGGGTGGTTTTTCGCCTGGGCCCAAGGACAGATAGGACCGATTGCCTGATTTATGTGTTTCTGCGCGGAACACTGCTTATGTCCACATTGTTCTTGACGGAGCGCAGGATGTCCGCGTATGACTGTCCGTTGCCAGATATGGTCACCGTCTCCACCGGGGCTCTGTCAGAGTCTCTTGTCTTCCTGTCCGCCTCCCTTCTCTTGCTTGGGTAGAGACAGAGCGTTGTCTTACTCTGGGGAGATGCCAGTTCCGCAATCTTCCTGATGTTGTCCAGGCTGACTCCTTCGGGGCAGATGAGCGCAATGTCTCTCGCCGTCGGGGAGCCCGCAGTTAGCCGCGTCAGGTTTTTGAGGCATTCGTATATTGTGTGAACGTTGATATCATCACCGTCGCTGTCCTTGTGGATGAGGAAGAAATTGGTCTTGGTTCTTGTTTTTGTTTTTGTATCGGCGTTGCCCCTACTCCTGCCCGGGATTAATGTAGAGGTTTGGAGATATGCCACCTCTCTCTTGCGAGCCTCCTGGACTAGTATATCGTCCAGGCAAGTCATCCTATTTAGAATTCCGCGTGTCCTCCCATCGGCGGGGCGCAAGTCTGCCGGAGAAAAGCACGCAACATCGTTTGCGTCCTTCAGGGGGGTGTCGTTTGCAGCAGTTCGTGTGTGAGCGTAGGCGTCGGCGGCCCATTTCCGGCTCGTGATTTCTCTGAGCTCGTCCGCGCTGAGTTCCTTTTGAGTCCATCTGCTCACATCGCCAGGGTCCACCGCCTCCGGAGACATAACCTTGACATAACCGTGACATAACCTTTTTGTTTTTTTTTATTTAACGTGGAGGAAATCTGCTCGCCATACACCCCCGCCCCGCCCGGGGGAGCGGGATGAGGGTAGTGTGGGGATTGACCCACTAAAACCTCCACGGCGACCTAAGGACGCTGTACCGATCGCTGGTGATTCAACGGGGGAGCCACGGGAACTCTTGAAGAACACTACCGCGGCTCCCCCTCGCCTGGCTGGCCATCAAGGTGGTAACGATGGCCGGCCGCGTCCCGGGGGGTATAAATCCTCCCCCCTAAAATCCATTTTTATTCGGCGGCGCGAGGGGTCGCACTCCGCACCGCCCCGACACAGCGACCACGCGATAGGTGACCAGGGCCCCCGCCCTGATCACAGCGGCCGCCGGGGGGACGACGAGTATATTGGAGGAGGATCACAATTAGCCCTCGCCTCCTACCAGGCGACTCGTCATCCCCCACTCACAACAGGGGAGGTCCTCCTCTGTTGGCGGGCGGCGGGCAATGAAACCAGCATGTACTGGTACACCCGCCGACCGCCTTGGCAGCCGCATTTTTGGCCTTCCGGCCAACCACCTGAGACCACGCCTCCTGGGGTGGAGGCGCGGCGGAGGGTGGCGCCAGTTCTGCTCGCGTGCGCGTGGGCTCCGGCTGGGCCGCTTTAGGCGCCCCAGCTTTCCCACCTTTCTTTTCCTCCTTCGCCCTCCGCCCCACCCTGTCCGAAGACTGTGAGGGGACGGACGGCCCAGGGGCTGTCTCTTATACACATCTAGATGTGTATAAGAGACAGTTTTTCTTCTTCGCCCTCCGCCCCACCCTGTCCGAAGACTGTGAGGGGACGGACGGCCCAGGTGCCACCGATCGCAGGGTCGTGTCCGCTCGCGGCGCGAGCCCCCTCCTGAATGACGCCAATTTGGCGTCTATCAGGGCGCCTATTTACGCCAGCAAATCTGCAGGCGCAGCCGCAGGTGGGGGCGAGGACACTTCTCGCCCGGAGCGATGGCGATCCCGGGCGCTGACGAACGGCGGCGATACTGAGCCCTCTCCCGGGCCCGGCGGCGGAGGCATTGCGGCAGCAGCCGTTCTCGCCTCCACCACCTGACGGAGTCGGGCCACCTCCGCCCGCAGCTCCGTCATCTGCCCCCTGAGGGCGGCATTCTCGGCCTCCAGGACACGCGTGGCGTCGGTAGCTGACCTCACTGCCAGCTCGGACACCCCCACCCTGCCGTTTAAGGCGGCCACCCTCAGGGCGCGGGCCAAGTTGCCCTTCAGCCCCTTTGACACGCCGGAGATCCTGGCCACCTCATCCAGGCTCTCCAATATAGCGGCCGCTACTTCCCCCGTCGGACGGTTGCGGAAATCTTGCGCAATATCCGTCTCGTCCGGTAGCGGGATGCTTGACCGCGACGGTCTCGGCACGGGGGCACCCGGGTCAAAGATTGCCGCCACCT